TGTCTTTGATAAGTAGGCAGTAAATAGTTGTTCAAAATTAGCGATTCTCTCCCAAACACCACATTCCCGTGCCTTTAAGGGCGAGGAGTTTTGCTTTTTATATTTAGTCAGTATATAAGCTCAAGAACTCATCAATTTTCAGTCATAAGAAGTGAAAGTTTTTTGTTGTTTCCACTCGTCTTCACGTTATATTTCATATCATTTTTAATTTAATAATCAAATAAAATGCTCTCAAAATCAGTGATAATCAGACTCTTGTGTCTGAGTCTAAGTGTCATCTGCACCAACGGTCACTTACCCCACGAGCACATCGGCGGACCGATTCTCATTGAGTCCCGACCCCCACCAGCCCTCCCATTCTATGGCCCCCCGATCCCCATAGTGGCCGCGTCTGTCAAATCGCCGCCAATCGTGGCTGCAGTCAAGTCAGTGCCTCTGCCACCCGTCACCCGCGCCCGGATTGGTGTCAAAACGGTGTTCCGTCCGCCACCACCAGCACCTATAGTCCAACAGGTTGTCCAACAGCCACTTCATATAGAGCAACACGAATTGGTAAACATATGACAAGTGTTAACATCGGAGCCCTAAATAATTGCCACTAATAGGTAGGAGTACCGGAGCCCTATAACTTCAACTTCGAGCACAAGGATGACAGTGGAAATGGACAGTATAGACGAGAATCTGGTGATACCGCTGGTGTGGTTCGTGGATCTTATGGATACACCGATGCCTACGGTTTATACAGAATTGTCGATTACGTGGCCGATAAGGACGGCTTCAGAGGTTTGCATACAATCTCTTGATTTGATTATTTGAACTCAAAGTGTAATTCATAACTCAATTGTAATAATCATATAATGTTTGCTATTATAGCGAGTATCCGCACCAATGAGCCAGGTCTGAATGAGCCGCATCCAGTGTCAGGTTCAGTGCCAAACCCGGCTGACATCACTCTGGCGGCTGAGGAGACCCCGGCCCGCGTCAAGGATCTCATCCGTTTGGCTCCCATTAAGGCATATGACGGCCGAATCCGAGCCCCCGTTTCTAACAGCGTTGACAACAAATATGATAACAAATATGTTTCCAGAGATTAGTTTATAACTAAAGATTAAATTTATTTTTTATCAAATTGCCTTTATATTAAGTTTTTAAATTTATTTTTTTAGTAAATCACTTTTCAGCTACAAATTTATATTATTTTTTAACATATTATTCGACAGCCGGTGCTTATATTAACGTCAACCGCTATGCCATTCAAGAATCAGAATTTATGTGTCATTCCTATGAATTCAATTCTGTGCCAACGCTTGCCTCTCATTATATAAACAATTTTATTGTAATTCTCTTTCGTATGAATTAAAATTGATTTTTTAAAAATAAATGAACACTTTCTTTTTCAAAATACTTATTTATAATAACAAGCTTATGGTCTATATTTTGACAAATTTTAACTCTACATTTAAAATGTTTGACAACTATATATGATTTAGATAAATTGGATTTTAATGGCTGACTATGAGTATCATGATCACATTATCAATTTGGCATTTGTTCAAAAATATAAGTTTTAATACAGTAATAAATACTACAAATAATTTTTTAAATTTATGATAGTAAATATTTCCCTTCCCTTATAAGTGATATTTTTAAATGAATTGTTTTTTGCTTTCAAATCATGAATTTTTATTACATTTATTTTTAATTTAAATTTTATTAAAAGTTTCGAGATTTGTCTACAGAATATAAAAATTACGAAATTTTGTCACTACTAATAAATTGAATGAAAAGCATATTACCTGTACTCGTATTGCAGTTATAAAGAGTAATGTGAAGTATTGATAGAGAGCTGTGCTATGATAATGTTAACGCTTTCATAACGTAACAATTTGAAGTATGATACAATTCATACATAATATTAGTTCACATTTAGTTTTCATTCAAAACATTTGGCTTTTCTATAATAGTTGCTATTATTTTGTTAGTTTCACATCCAGCTCATTTATCATTTTGACAACTAACTGTCCAAAACTATCTATTTGATCAGTTATAAACTATGGCAACCGCTTGTATTCCTCAAGAATCCAATTGCCAACAAAGCATCAAGATTTGGAAACTTAAGAAACTTATCAAAAGTCTTGAGTCGGCCCGAGGGTAAGCATACATACCGGGGCTATAAGTCTCAATGAACTTACATTTATTTGTTTGCCTTCTTTCCATGTCTTAAAGTAACG